TCCCCTCCCCTTCCTTGTAGCTGTACGCCATAAAATGCTCGTTGCTCATCCCCATTGCAATTGCCTGTTTCACTTGAAACACCTCAAAAGTGGGGCCTGTTTTTTTTTCCTTTTTTGTATCCCTGCTGCTAAACATGAATCAGACACTCAGAGTGGTGAGAATGAATATATGAAAGAAGGAGAAACAGGACCCTCTGGTCCTCTTCTGTCTCTGGGGCTGGCTTGCTCTTCTTTTTGGTACCTCTTTACTGAGATATAATCACATACCACACCATTCACCTATTTAAAGTATATAACTCCGTGACTTTCAGTATATTTAGAATTGTGCATCCATCAGCATAAAATCAAGTTTAGAACATTTTCAAGTTTAGAACCAAAAAGAAACCCCACACCTCTTAGCAACAAATCCCTCCATTCCCTACAGCCCTAGGCAGCCACTAATCTTTTTGTGTCTGTGGATTTGCCTCTTCTGGACATTTCGTATAAATGAAATCATAATAAATGTGTGATCCTTTGTGACTGTCTTCTTTCACCTGGCATGTTTCTAAGGTTCATCCATGTTGTAGCATGTATCTCTACTTCATTCCTTTCTATTGTCGAATAACATTTCATTATATGGATAGACCGCATTTTGTTTATCCATTCATCTGTTGATGGACATTTGTGTTGTTTTCACTTTTTAACTATTGTGAATAATGCTGCTATGAACACTGTGTAAGGGTTTTGTGGGGACATACGTTTTCATTTCTTTTGGGTATATAACTAGGCGTGGACTTGCTGGATCGTATGGTAATTCTTAGCTTATCTATTTGAGCAACTGCCAGACTGCTTTCCAGGATGGCAACACCATTTTCCATTCCCACCAGCCAGGTAGGAGGATCCCATTTTCAGTGGACATACTGTTTGCTCTTTCCTATCTTTAGTGTAAATGAGGGTTCTAGAAAAAGGTTTTAATAGCCCTGGAGAACTATCTGATACTTCTTAAGGCACTCCTCCCTGCCACCCGGATCTGCCAGAGGGTACTAGGTTTGTTACATGACGCGTCTGAAAGTGGCTTCTTTTCTCTCCTCTGAGGAACGTGGCCGTTAGGCCTGTGCCAGGCCTCCCACCTCAGGCCTCCTCACTGTACCCCAGGTCAGCATGCCTGATCAAGCCCAGGCTCCTGTTCTTTCTGTACTGGCCATTGTTGGTTCTGCTTGATCGACTCTTAAACCCATTGTCAGGATTGCATGCCCAGTGATAAAAGGCATTTCTCTGAGCTTTGGTCAGTGGGACAGCTGCCCTGTGCGACTGTGGGAATGCCCTATAGTTTTTGGCCTGTCTTCTTTCTTCTTACCCTCTTCTGTTAAGAGGAGCTGGTTGCCCTAGAAGGAAAGGGGTATGTGTAACCCTTGTCTACCAACATAAAGAAGCCTGCGCTTTATAAAGCTCCGTCTTTCGGAGGGACACCTCCTCCCAGTGCACCAGCTCCTCTTCTAGTGGGGCTTCCCAGGCATTTCACAGGTCTCTAAAGGCCTCTCGTTCCTCGGCTGCTATAAACACTCTAATCCTGTTAGTCACAGGCTAACTCACTTGAAGCGTAATCCTTTTAAGACATTTCCTCTCCAGCAGAGAAGCAGGATTTGGGAGGAATCTTAAAGTTGATTGGGAAGGACACACACAAATATGAGAGAAGGAGTTGTCTCCAGGTTGGATCTCTGGGAGGCATTTTGAAAGATCTGACTATTCAAGATGGATGGGAAAACCTATGCTGATAGGTAATAATGGTAGTATCCAACATTTGTTGCCAGGCAATGTGCAGAAGGCCTTTAATGTATTGTCTCATTTAATACAACCTACCTGTTATCAACCTCATGCCCAAATGAGGAAACTGAGGCCCAGAGATGTGATTTACCTGAAGTCCCATAGCTAATAAGTGAAGAAGATGGCATTCCTGGGGTAAAATGCATGTATCCGTCACAACATTTTGGCTTGGCCAGACAGTAGGTACTTGATAAATGTTTACTTGAGTGAATGAAGTAGCTGGTGCCCAGTGAAGAGGGGTAGGAATGAAGGCTAGGTGACTTCCTACCTCCTGCAAAGGAATAGGCACCTGCTGTTATGGTGGCGGTTGGTTTACTTGCTAGGGTCTGTCTTTCTTATCAAGAAAGTTACCCATGTTATTACAACATGCCACCCAAAGAAGCCTAGAACTGACGTTTCTGTAGTCCCATGGGAGAAAGAGGAAGATGCATTCTTTCCTTATCTGTCATTCTGCTGATCTGGTTTCCTAGGGCTAACACTTGCAAACAATACTCTGCTATTCCTCTCTCCCCGGATCACACAGGTGAGGCCAGGCTGGGAGAAGCGGTGTGTAGTTCAGGTTATTTTGGAAAACTGCCTGACTAGTTTCAAGTGTGGATCAAACACTGGTGCTCCTTATTGAGTCGAAGGAACTGTTGCATCACACATGGGCAAAGGGGCAGAACCAAGTCTTCTTAGCTTTCTCCTCCAGGCTGCCATTGTTCTGGGAGCTTGGCTCCAGAGGTGCCTGTTTATGGTCCCAAATTACCAGTCTGGGAGAGGAAAAATACCTAGTGTAGTCTCATTCAGGCATCTGCTTAGATCAAATAGAAGTGGCCAGGAGGCCAGATCCTGTGGTTAAGACATCGCCACCAGGCGCCCCCACCTCTGTTATTGGAGAGTGTAGCAAGAGAAGGGAGCATTGGGCAGTCACCCTGAGGGTCTGCTACACAGGTGTGAAAAGGCTTTGCTTAGACACTGCCCTTTCACTGGTTGGAAAAGTGTTCAGTGGGGATGAATTGAGTTTGAAAATGTTTAGCTCTTTTCAGGTCTTCATGGAGCTAAAGGAGCAGGATGGAAAGCACCAGGTGCAGGCCTCTCCCATCCCCGGAAGGTAGGAGGTGTGGGAGGGATGAAGTCGCTCTAGGTTGGAGTGAAGTTGGTTACAAGATTGCTGAGATGATTAAGTGACACAGCATGCGTGTAAAACACTTTTCCTTTGCCTGGTCTACCGTATCCCCCTCCCGCCCCATGAATACTAGGAATGTACTGTTATAATAATAATTACACCAACTTCATAGTTTGCATATGCAGTTTCTAAACTCAGAACTTCTTTTTGCCTCATGACTTACACAGAATTGACTGAAGGCAGAATTCTAAATGACTTAAGTGGTGGGACAGCGGAAGAAACAGTGTGTGCCCTTGGTTGGTCACGGCTTTCTCTTTTCACCGTGTGTGATTAGAAAGCTTTGTCATGGCTGAAAAAAGGAGCTCTTGTGTAAGATGTTTCCTTAATTTATTTAGTATTCTCTTTCACTGGTTGGAAAAGTGTTCAGTGGGTGCTTTGTCTGACTTCTCGGTGCTTATTTTTCTTAAGTGGTTTGTTTCCCTGAGTCACCTGCCGGAGGCTGGGCAGCTGTGGTGCCGTCTGCCCACTCTGCACTCACACAGGTAGCCTTGTGGAGCACCAGTTTCCAAGTCCTCTCTTGGGGGCCCGGAGAGAGGTTCGGCCATCCTGCTTTTGAGACTGTATAACCTCTGCAGGCCCTTGTGGGACACATTTTTTTCCAAAGTAGAGGGCCCTGATCTTGTTTATCCCAAGAGATACTGGGAGAGAGCCTAAAGTGAGGATTCCAGAGTGTTGGGCTCTAGTCCCAGCTGTGTCACTTGTGTGGCCTTAGTTTCTTCGTGGTGTAGCTGGGAGGATTCCGATCAGGATGAGAGCATGTGTGCCGAAGGGCTTGTGAACTATTAAGTGTAAGGGTGGCAGTGTTGATACTGTTACTCTCCTTACTAACCTAGGGCCGTGAGAGTTGGTAAGAGGAGGGACCCATGCTGGTGACTCTGATGGGGACCCGTTGGTTGGAGTTTCCCAGAAAGGATTGCTCTCTGCCATTGTATGTTGAAACCCATCCATTGGTCTTCTCACCCATTCATCCACCCATCCATCTATCATCCATCCATCCATCCATCCATCCATCCATCCATCCATCCATCCATCCAGTAGTTCTTTATTGAGCTCTTATTATATGCCAAGAAGTGTACAAGGCACTAGGTGAATAAATAGTAAAAACTTCCAGCCTTCGTTGAGCATACATTCTATTGGGGGAGGGAGGGAGTTGAAAATAAACAAGTAAATAAAATGTGAAGTACCTTTGCATGAACAGACTTGCAAAGGTTGGTATCCTGAAACAGGCGTTGCCCTCTCTCTCATATACCCTATTTCTATTGCGGTGTGTACCACACTGCTTCTCACCAGGCATTCTGAGCACCTTGAGGGCAGAAATTGAGTTTGCCCTATTTCTCTGGTGCTTAGTTTAGTGACAGACACCTGGTAGGCATGCAGTGTGGTTATCAGTCAACCATATAAAGAAGGTGGAAGTGAAAAGTCCCACAGGCACCAGTTTCCTGGTTATCTTTCCTGGAATTAGTCTACATAGAGTATATAAATAAATGACATGTTTAAATGCCTCTTCACCTAACAATACTACTTTGAAGATCATTTCCTTTTAGAGCTTCCTTTTTTTTTTTTTTTTTTAAAGAACTCTATTCCATTTTATGGATGTACCATGATTTATTTACCCAGTCCCCTAGTGGTGCTTATGTCATTGTTTGCAGGCTTTGGCTGTGATGAACACTCCATGGGGAATAGTGTTCATATGTCATTCGCACATTTGCAAGTCCTGCAAGATAATTCTGAGACGTGGGAATACTGACTCAGGACATACCAGTTGGTATTAATTTGTAAATGAGGGCAGAAAAAATGAGGCCCAGGAGTAGACTAATGATCACATGCAGTGGGCAAGTCACCAGTCCCTGTGTTCTGCTCAAAGTCCTTACAGCATCTGATATCACTTCTTTTGTTTCTGCACTAGGCTGGAGACTCCACATTCAATCGCGCTAAGCTCCTCAATGTTGGTTTTCAAGAGGCCTTGAAGGACTATGACTACAACTGCTTCGTGTTTAGTGACGTGGACCTCATTCCAATGGATGACCGGAACGCCTACAGGTGTTTTCCCCAGCCACGGCACATTTCTGTGGCAATGGATAAGTTTGGATTTAGGTAAGAGCTGTTCACCGGAGTCTACCGAAAACCTGTTCCTCTCTGATACGACAACCAGGAGATGCAATTCCTCCAGCCCAGGAGTGCCTTTGTGCTCCGGAGATGAATGCCTCCTGAGAGATAGGTGCTTTTTAAGCCCAAAGTCCGTTATTATTTGAGGAGGAAAGTGGAATCCGGAAAGGCCTCTAACCTCTGCACATCCAGACAAGAAGAGCTTTTAATGTTTGGGATGGCACCAAACTGATGCTGTGCTGCCTCTTTCTTCTCTCCCCTTCCCCACCCAGTTTGGAAAACAAATTGGAATCATTTCCCCCCAGTATGTTCTTGGGTTTGCATACCTCAGCGGGACTGCTTCTCAGCCGCAGCACACGGGGCCCAAGTGTTTCTGCCAAAATGCCCCTGATGAGGAGCCAGCTGATGCCTGTGCCCAGGGCCAGCGATGTAATCCAAAGCATATTGTCATAGGTGGAAAATTACCCCAGGGTCCATTGTTTTATCATAAAAAAATAAATGTGTATTTTGTTCCATAATTTACTCATATTTGTATTAACGTAAGATGGTTTTAAATCGCCTATCGGCTTTGAAACGTGACCTTTCCCTCTCTGTTCTAAGAAGCTGCCGCAGGTGCCCAGTGTACAGGCCCCTGCCTCAGACTGATGCCCACAGTGTGACTGGCCTCGACTGACCAGCAGTCCCTCGGCTTAGATCCAACTGCCTTTTTTCTGACTCATTTTATTCTCATAATTCTTTCTGTCCTTCCTTGCTGAGGGCATGCAGTCTGTGAGATAACTATAGGGTTGTTATGAAGTCCTTCCCCCAGAGCAAAGGTATTCAGGCCCTAAACTTGCTGTCTTCAAGGGGGCAAAATTTAGCTGTAAACGTCACTCTCTGACCCCCATCTTCCCTCCCTCTCTCCCTGTTTATGTATCTGCTTTCAAGATATACGGGTTCATACCTTGACCCCTCTTAATTCCCCCCTTGAAGCATGGTGGTGATCACCTAATTCTTTACCACAGCAGCATGTCTGCTTTCCCCAGAACCACTTAGGCGTGTCGGACGGGGCAGGAGGTAAGAGAAAGCAGCACAGATAGCAAAACTAGATCTTGTCGGCTCAGCTTGTACTTCCCCTAGAAGTGACTAAAAGCCCATTTCTGTTAAAACACTGATTATCAAAAAACTTTATTGGCCTGGCCACCTCTGGTTCAAACCCTCACATTTCAAGTTCCGTCTATACTGTGAAGGTAGATGACTTGGCACTTCCGTGATGATACCTTATTACAAAAAGATTACCTTAGATTCATTAAAGCAGGCCCCCAGGGATCTTTGCTTGTGGATACTTGCAGTCAGAATTCCTGAATGTATTTGAAAATGATAATTGCTTTTTTAGTTTAGTTTTGTTTTGCTTTTCATGGGTTCTATATGGTTTGGCTGACTTCTCTCTTGAAGTCTGAGTTAGAGTTTTTCTTAATTTGTGTGATAGGTTTTGGTCTCTGGATTCCAGTGAGAGCCTGAGTGTGGTTTGGAACTGCACACAGGGTTGAGAAAACCCCCCACAGCCTTTAAAGGACCCACAGAAGGCCTTTGCGTGGCCTCTGGGCATGTCCTGATTCTGATGCTTAACATTTCTCATAGGTGTTTCCTCTGTATCCCTTAGGAGGCCACGGTTCATAACCATTGAAACATTGAAATACAAAAAGGTTTGGACGGATGAGAGCCCAGATGCCCTGCTGCTTGAAAATGTGTCAAAATAGATTCACCATAATACATTTTGCTAAGTCAGGATATGGTAGAAATTTCCAAGAAAATTTTATTTTAGAAATTTTTCAGAAATGCTACCCTTTTTTTGAATCAGAACATTTACCCATTTTATTGATGCATCGCAATTGCTCTACATTTTACTATATTATGTAGAAAATACAGAAAATACAAGCTACTTACTTTGTAAAATCAAAGGCAAAAATCGAGTACAATGATAAACTATGTTTTACACAATGAACCTTTTCCTGTAGTTAGTATTAAATTTTAAATATCTATTTATTTTGTTAAAATGCTTATTTTACGTACTCCCTAAGTACATCGGCTTTACAAACATAGCTCAGTAATTCTCAGAAACTGTTTCTAGAGGCTTGTTGTAAAAGGAAGCGCACAAGCAGAAAAGAGAGAAGGCAGAAAAAGTTTAAATAGTATATAATAATTAGCATGTCAAATATATTTAATAAAGTTGGAATTCCATTGCGATATCAAGGATTCAAAGCAGAAATACAGACATTACATATAATGTCGATATAAGGCACTGCTACATGTAATGAGATTATTTTTCAAGCTGAATCAAGACCACACATTATATAAAGTTTAGCAACAGACAACCGTGTGGACATGCTGCACCATTGTCAGTTAAAAACAAAATCAAAATAGGAAGCAGGCTTGGGCCATTCCTGTCACTGAGAAAAGTTTCATTTCCTAACTTAAAACAAACCATCTTAACCCGTGGACTTTTGCATATTAATGCTGCATAAAACCATTGCTGTGCTTGCCTGGCTAAGAGCAGTCCAGCTCAGCTCCTCCTCTCCTGGAGGAGGATGGATGGCAGAAATGCTATTTTGACTGTTGGAGTCAGTCAGTGTTCAGGTCATTGTACCTTTGGCAGAATGGAAGCTAGACTGGTAGATAGGATGAGTACATGACAGAGTGGGCACAGGGAGACTCTGGAACAATCTCAGATTCTAGGACCTCCTGGATAAGGATTTCCCATGCAGGAGCACAACATTTCTGAACGGTGCAGAGCTGGGCTTATGCTCTTGTGCCTAACTGATTTTCTAGATCACAGAAGCAACACAGTGTTCATGGAAAGAAGATTCTATTTTTTGTTATCTGTATCTTCTCTAAGGTAATCTGAGTCCGCCATAAAAACAAAACAAAAATAACTTTAGAAGTGTTTATATTTTGAGCAAGCTTTATTTTGAGCAAGTCAAAATTTACTAACCACTGTACCTCTGTATGTGTGTGTGTGTGTGTGTGTTTTTTCCCCCCCAGCTTACCTTATGTTCAGTTTTTTGGAGGTGTGTCAGCTCTAAGTAAACAGCAGTTTCTCACCATCAATGGATTTCCTAATAATTATTGGGGCTGGGGAGGTGAAGATGACGACATTTTTAACAGGTAATGGTCACAACTTAGATCTCCTCTTTCCCTGCCTCTCTTCACTTCTAGTGTTTCAGTCAGTGCTCGGTTACTCTGCAAGGTCTTCAATCCCCAGGAGGGATGCAGTCCCCACTCAGCCCAGCTTCTTACATGTGCTCAGCTGTTAGACGCTATACGTACTGAAGATGTCTTTAAGAAAGTTAGTTTCTGTGATTAAAATTTTTTTTAATTTATTGATTTTTAGAGAGAGAAAGAGAAAGAAACATCAATTTATTGTTCCACTTAGTTGTGCATTCATTTGTCGATTCTTGTATGTGCCCTGACCTGGGATCAAACCCCCAACCTTAGTGTATCGGGACTACGCCCTAACCAACTGAGCTACTGGGCCAGGGCAGCTTCTGTGATTTTTGCATTAGCCTTGGAAAATGGAAAATGAGAGCCAAGTGACGGGGGAAGGGGGGGGCTTACTTTGATGTATACCATGTGCCATTTTATCCTGAAGGAGTAAACATGTCCTTTGTAAAAATTTAGCACCTCATTGTGGTCCTGTTGGAGTCCCAAGGTCTATTTTTTTATTTTGGACTATTTTTAACATACACAAAAGAAGACAGAGTAGTTTGATGAAACTCTGTGTACCGGATGGCCCCAGCAATCATAATTTCATGGCCAACCCTCCCCATCCACACCCTGGGACTCCTCGGTAGCTGATAAACCTTTATCATGTAGGTTATCATTGCAGATGGTAGAAAAACCCCTGTCAGTAGCAACTGAAACCACATTCTGCCCAGTTCTCCCCGGCAATTGAGGCTTCTACCCTGCCAGCTGCAGGTTAGAAGCACCTACTCCCTTTAGGAGCCAGTCTGGACTTGTCTCTGAGTTTGATGTCAGAATACAGCCTGGTCCCTTCCTGAATTGGAGAGCACTAATTTGCTCAGTTAACAGAAGGTGTCTGTCAGAGCCACATCCAAGTCATTCAAGGTTAACTTCACGTGAGAATGTGGCATAGACCCAAGTCTTTAATATTGGCCTTGGAGAAAGCTTGCGTTTTTGAGTATGCAGATTGGTTGTCAAGCATGCACATATTGAATGTCTGCTGCATGCAGAGCACTGCGCCAGGTAGGCCCAGTGGGGAGAACACTGAAGAAATGGACATGGAGTCCAGACAGAAACATACTTGCTCCCACAATACCACACCTGGGCGACACTGGGCCCATATGATGGAGTACAGGGCTGATGTGACACCACAGACCTAAGTGGTCAGAAAGGTTGGGGGCAGGGGCATCAAGCATAGACCCCTTAGGGTGGAGAGACTAGAAGGATGAATGGTTTGTGGAGCAGCTTTCTTGAAAAATGAAGGACCTGACTCTTACTCTACACCTATTCACTGTGTGCCAGGCACTCGATTGG